AGGTAGGAAAGGAGTTTTCACCATGTTTCACCATGGAGGCTTACTTCCTACCTCCATGGTTTTCACAGGGGGGGGCTGAAAAGTAGGGAATAATCTTGCTTGTGGTCTTGGGGGTCGTTTAAACATCTAACTTCTCTACATTCAGTTTTATACAGAGGAAAATACAAATTGAATTCTTCGAATGAATGCAATTTTGTACAATGAAAATGTATTACTTAACGATAAACTGTAAGATAAATAACATCTTTTTTTAAAGCGATAGGTGTAGAAAGACAGATATTTGTTACACGAATGAATTTGTAGTAAATATTGAGTTTTTCATTTCGAATGCTATGTTCCATGTATGCGAAGTATCTGAGATAATAGTCATAACCGAATAGCTTTCAACCTTTTCACGGCTAAGGACTGTTTCTCAATTACATTGTGGTCGCTGCTTTTTGGTTAATTTTCTAATGACATATAAACAATAGTTGTTTTTATTTGAGACTTATGAATAAAATAACGCAAACTAGACTGCAGAAAATTCTTAAGAAGGAAGTTAAATAATACTGAAAAATACATTATTGATGCACTTTTGTGTTTTATATGTAGTAGTATTAACTACTACTATAATCCTTAAATGGAATCCTTAAATTATATATATCTATGTGTAGGTATATATAAATGGAACCAAATATAGAACAAGGTATAAAATATCTTTATTATACAATGTTCATTACCATACGTATATTTACGTAATATCAATATAAATAGTTAGTTAGGTTTCGTACATATATAATTTATTTTTATATTTTGTATTTGTTGTATTAGATTCAGTATTGTATATGTATCTGAAGTTTAATTTGTTCTCTTTTTGGGTTACGACTTTAAGTGAGAAAGAATTGTTAGGGCCTTCATAGGGATTACATTATTATACAATCAGTTAGGATCCTACTTTTCCTTTCTTTTAATCATTATGTATATTGAAATACTACTTGATAAGTATACTTAAAATATAGCAGTTTTTAAGCTACTTATTTATATATCTATTGTTTGGTCTGGTTTGTTTGATTATAGCAAAGCATTCGACGGTTATTTGCCTAAGGGTAAGGGTGCCTCGTGGAGAACTTTCTAAGCAAAACTGACTCTTATGCACGTTACACGTGGGGAAAACCTCGAAAACGCCAATACAGCCATCCCCGTCGATCCAGATTCGAACCCCGGATCGACCTGCCAGAGTTCAATGGTTTTACAGCTCAGCCGCTAGTGAGCCACACACACACACATCCACACATATACATTAAATAGTATTTGCATGTCGTTTATAAAGTATAATTGAGTGCAATTATATCATAAAGAGAAAATATTCTATGGAATTACTTCACTTCGTAGACTTTTTGCTAAGCTTCACCATATTTCTTAAAGAGAATCGCAACGCTGATTCCATTTCCTAGACCTTTATGTATCTTATTTTTTTCTACACTGCATTATATTTAGAAAATTATTTCACTTGGTTATAGCTGAAAATGCAGTTTTTTTATTGAAGAATTTAAGGGTAAGAAGAGAATTATGCCCTTTTCTAATTATTCTTGAAGCATTTAATTAAAAAAAAAAGCGCACATTAATACGGATCACTGAACTAAAGTGCTCGATACAGGACAGATTAATTAGCTACTAAATTTTGATTTTCTTTGAGTAAAAATGAATTCATCTGCATTCTATAAGAAAGCAAATATTCAAGAAAATCCCCCCCCGATTCTCGCAGTCATAATATTTTTCTTAAGTATTCAGCTAATTCATATTCAAATATTCCAATCCATTACAATAAGTAATAAATCGATACAGTAAATAAATAATTAAAATCAATTAAATGGAATTTTAATTGATTTTAATTGCCATTTTCCCTCTGATAAACCCCTCTTTAGAGTTCAATAGCAGTCGATCAGCTTTTGTTTGGGGTTCATTTTGCTTTATGGTATGCTTTACATTATATATGTATGTATTATGCATTGCTCATACTCATCAATTGCAGCTTTTAATATTTTTTGGAAAAAAATCAATATGAGAATCCAGAAAATGATTCTTAGCGACGCTAAAACTATTATTACTAGGCACTCTCATGCCACAGTGTTTAAAAAAAAAAATCGCATTGTTTAAAGGTAGATTCTATGCACATATTTTAGTCTAAAATTAAAAGCTGAAAGTCAAAATTAAGGGGGTTGCTCTTAGAAAGCCTCAATTAGAAGTAGTTATAGGAAATGTTAATCAATACTTATAATCTTACGGATTAAACACTTATTCCCTATTTGATCACGTGTATGGCAAACAGATATTCGTCATTCATAAAGAAAAGAAAGGTGAATCAAAATGAGTTATATTCTTGTTTTTTCAATTGCAAAAACATCTTAAGATACTATCGGATTTAATCTTTAAATTATTCCAGTAATAATCAGAACAATGGAGGCCATTATTCTTAATTATAATTTACTAATGCAAATCCTATTTTGGTTTCAAATGGCTTTCATTAATTACGTTAATGATATACTGATACTGAATGAGACCTAAAAACACTTTTTTTTTAAATATATCTCCCCTTATGATCCCGGACACAGCCGTTTACTTTTCCCTTCCGTAATTAACGTCAGTCTCCTGCTGTTGACCGCATTTGCCAAGCCACCGAAACGAAAGAGAGAGAGGTGTTGATTGAGGCGAATTCCGGAACGCATTCGGAGGGCAATTCGGAGAACGCTTTTTATCCCTGTCAGATTCTGCTTGACAGGATGAGGCAGAGTTTGTGAACTGTTGCATTCTTCTTTCTTTCTTTGCGGTAGCCACACTCTTTCGCTCAAAAATTTCTTCCCCCTTCGCCGGTCAGTCATTGCCGGCAGGACTTTGAAAAGCACTGCGTGTGTTCCATTGCACAGCCTCTTTCTGTGATTTCTCTCTCCCTCCAGCACTCCTTCGCCCCTCGAAGGTCACGATAATACCCACTTCCTCTCTAGTTCTTGAATTCAAGCGCATTTGCTTGGCTTCCTTACAACTTCTTTGAATAAAATACACTATATAACAATACAGTGTAAATAACAGTATATCGCATTATTATATATTGATATGATTATGGCTGAACTTCGTGTACATATGTAATATTCTAAACTTTTAAGTTGATAACTACCTGCCTACATAAAGCATTTTTACGACTTTGCGAAATAAAGCAGGATTAGACTATGTTTGTTTAACTCATTTATTAGCAGTTTACGCGTTACATTAATAATGACGAATGCTTTGAAAATATCAAAAATCAAACTTCCTACTGAGGTTGAATTGTTTCTGATAAAACTTGCTATGAAACAATAGTTCTTCAAATCAGTTCTGTATAGTTCCCGGTACAACAGAATAGTTTCAAACATTTTAAAGCTACAGCGTTATTAATCACGTATCTCGCGAATGATTTGACTTTATTATACAGCCATGTATTTATTATACTGATTTTTAATATTAATTTAAAATTAAGTTATTTTTACATGAGCTACCAAAAACGTTGCAGTGACTCACTGATAGCTAACTTGTTGTATATATTACCTATCATAGTCTGAACAGAAAAAGTGTCATTACACACATTTCAGGGAACTTCGATGGTATTCAGAGTTAATTAAACTTCGATAATTAAAAAAAAATAATAAATAACCAAAAAATAGCGCCACTGAAATCGGCGAAAGCTCTGAGCTGTTTGAGCTAGGACAGAAAAGAAATAAATTCGACAATAATTGAAGACAAATGTGAATGTGATTTGATGTTTAATATAAATCTGAATTTTAATCGCATTGTCATATTTTTGTTTGGGCTAGGTTCTGATTAATTGCAGGGCACAAGTATAAACCTAGTAGAAGCGAACGATTTTTTTTTTTTTTTTACCAGATATTGACTCGTCTTCATGTTACACATTTACATTATAGAAAATTCCGAGTAGCGAGTTAAGTTAAGAAGTTACTTTGTATGAAAATCTGCTAATTTTTCAAAAGTAAGGAGTTTAAAGATATTATTTATTGCTTTAAACTCAGACAGACGGAAAGATAATACTTAGCATCTTAATTGATTATTAAGAGTTTTAAACAGTATGACAGTATTGTTTAGCTAATTTTTTTTTTTTTTTTTTTTTTTTTTTTTTTTTTCTCCTTTGCGTGATTAAATTGCAAAATTCAAAAAATTTTACATTACTCTATTCATGCTCCTTTCACCTTCAGTAAGTTTCTAAAATAACCATTCTCGAAATGTTACTCTTCACTAATCATGTTGACATTAAAAAGAGAGAAGACATAAATGAAAAATAAATGGAAGGGTCTGTCTGTGTGTGTCTTTCGTTCGTGCTGCGCGTAAGCTAGACCCGGGGCTACGAAATTTGGTACATAGGTGCATCTAGACAAAAGCCAGTGCACCTCGAAGCGAATTTTTTAAAACTCGAATCAGATTTTCTTTTACTTTATCTTTTTTGATGAAATCGCATGATTTTGAATAGTTTCATTCTTTGGCAAGTTTTTCATTCAATGCTTTGTATACTAGACTGCTGACTGTTGAAAATATGAGATAAAATATTACTAATTATACACGCATATCGCAATCTTTTTATTCTGACGCGCATGTGTTTCGCGAGGCACAACAGAAGGAATTTCCCTTCCCCTCCCTCTCTCTTTATTAGCTAATATTTGTATATTTTTAATTATCTCATCCACAGAGCACAATTTTGATTGGTTACAATTATATAAAAAGTTTTGCATGCTTTTTTTAGGAAACTAAATTCTTAACTTCCTATATACCATTTGAATTCTTAAGATTTGCAACAGAAAGTTGGTTAATTTTTTTATTAGGATAATTAATATTTGTGTTAAGAGATATTGCTTTTTACATTTATTACACAAGTATTGCATTATACACAAGTAGATTGCATTAGTACATTGCATTATACACAAGTAATTTTTGTATATATAATAAATTTTTATTTATTTATTTATTTATTTTCCCTGTAGGATATCTGTATCATGAAATTGGAAAAGGCATGGTAAAATTTCAAAAGTTAAAGCAACATTAGAAGCTGTTTTGAAATTAGTTTGTTTTCGGATGGTTAGTTTTCTAAGGCATAATGTAGCCATAAAACGGGAACAAGGGGAGAAGAAGTAGATGGTCAAATGCTGCAACACCTGTTTTACTGTGTCTGAAAAAAGATTTGCTTAACGGTTTTACTGGATTTCTAGAACAGATGTAATTAAAAACGGGAAGAAGAAAACAATAAAATTCAGAAGCTGAAATAGTACTGAACCTGCATTCGAAAATTATTTGTTTTCTAGAACATGAGTTATCATTAAACGGGAAGAAATGGCAACAAAATGTAAAAAATTGCAACATTTCTGAAAATGGACTAATGGACTATCTGTGTCCGGAAAGGTTTTACTTACCAATCTTGTCTTATTCCTGTGGGTGTAAAATGGGAAGGAAAAGTAACAAATTTGGGAAGGTTAAACATCTTTGCAGCATATGTTCAAAAATGTTTTAGCTGTCGATTTTGTTATTTTTTCTAGGATACGTGTAACGATGGAAAGAGAAAGAAAATAAATGTTGAAAAATTATTTTAGTTTTCTAAGACATGTGCAAAATATAATAAAGGCTGTAATCTGAACAACTTTTGAATGTGTGTTGGAAAATGATTTATTCTTCAGTTCTGTTAGTTTTTCAGCACATACTTAATCGTCAGAATGGAAGGAAAAAAACCATTACAAAATTTTGGAGGAAAACTTTTCTTTTCTTTTTTTTCTTTTTCTTTTTTTTTTTTTTTGTATATAATGTATTTATTATTAAACTTAAAAAATATTTTAATTGTTTTCCAGCAATACATACTTTAATTCGTGTAATTCATTTGTTTAGCATAAAGTGCATGTGTATATCCATTATGAAGTTATTTTTAAATTTTTTACTTTTCATACATTTTGATACCGCACCAAGAGAAATACTACGTTTTTAGTTTCATAGGTAGCACCGTTAAACATACGAAGTTAAAAAAAAAGTATAAAAATAATTTTGTTCTTTGATACGTATAATATTCTATTTTTTAATATTTTACTCACGCTTTAATACCTCATTACTACATTCGGCTACTACCTTAGGATGTCTACTAAATTACGTATAGATAGGTATACATATTTTGTACCTAAGGTAGTTTAGTTGTACAGTAAAATATACAATGTTGAAATACTAATGTATTCTTTCAATTATATATGTATTTCAATTAGTGTCTTCATATCGCAGTGTCTTGAAACGTTGCCGTTGTGAGTGCACAGTGTGTTCTGAATGAATACCATCATCTATGCTTCAAAATATTATACTGAAATGTCACATCAACGATTAACATCACTGGAGAGACGATTTCAGTGAGTGAGCAATAATTCCCTTTACATAAAAGAATTTTGCAAACATTATTTTTGATATACTCTTTGATTTCCTTTTTTAGTCTAGGAAGAGCGTATTCCACAAGTCAGTTTCTTTTACTGAAGTTATTAAGTGTGAACTAAACTTTTGTCTCCTGTGACGACCGTATAAATGATATTACAAACATTTGATGAGTGCTTTCATGATTTAAATTCTAAAAATTCTATTAAATTTTTATGTTATAAAGAATAATGTGGAAACAAATAGTAGAATCAATAAAACTAAGCAACTTTGTCTAAATTTATACTATGCAAGTTTATTAAAATTAATAGTTGCTTGGGAAGAAACAGGAAAGAAATCTCTTAGATATTCTTTACACATTCTTGTGATGTGTAATTCTATTTCTCTATTTTTCTCTTCTCGGCTACTATTGGCTTCGGAAAGTAAAATTGTAACCCTCAGCTTTTAGAAAGTATGAAGCTCCTGTAATGTTTAAAAAAAAAACTTCTTTCGATGTACAAAGTCGTTAAATTCCCCGAGCAGGCGAAGGGGGAGGTTGAGCCGAAAAGGAAAATTGTGGATTTTTCGCGGAAAATTCTACTCCGCTTAAGGAAACACGTGCAAGTAACTGGACACCTGTCAGCGTTGGCCTGAAAGATGAGTTTTCTTCTCTATGATACCCATACGCGCAATTGTCCCCCCAGCTAAACTCGTGTTAATGAACAGCACTTCTTTCTTCGATAAAACAATCGAACAACGATGAAATACAATTTATATGAATTCGATCATGGTTAAAATTAATTCTAATTTATAATTAAAACGAAAGAAAACGGTCTTTAGTTTTGCTTTACTATTTCAAGCGCGAAATAACCCAACAATGGTAAAATACAATTCACATTAATTTGAGACTGATCAACAGTAAACGGTTATTAAAACTTAAATTGAAAACAAAAAATCTTTCTCACATATTCATTTCAAACTGAGATGCAGCAGTACCTTGCATAGCCTGGCTAACCATTTCCGCAATTATCTCACACTATTTGAAATTGGACTAAATGAAAAACTAAATGTATGCAAAATAATCTGATGTGCACACCACATGACTTTCTTATACGGAATATTAAATTATACCTATTTTTTGCTGCATTTCATTTAAACTTGTTTCTTCAAATTTCATTAGAGATATAGTTAATTCAGTTTTCACTTCGCGGCAAGCCAAAAATACATAAAACCTCAAAATACCTTTGTCAAAAATTGAAAAATATAAAACACAAAATACAGTTAAAACAATTAAAATTAGTTTAACGTAACAACAAGCAAATCGGCCAGCAGGCAAGAAGGCAGATTTTTAGATGCACAAAAACTCAAAGTTTACTTTTTGTCCCACTCGGCAAAAAGACATAGAAGGTGCAGAAGCTGACTTAATTCACTATTCTGCTACGCTTCAAATGTTAACAAAAATGGCAGCTATGGTAAGAAAATCAGGTTTAGCCACACTTAAACAACTTTTAAATTGTTGATAATTCTACAACCAGATTAACTCAAGGCGTAAAAACTTTAACCGGAAGATAAAAACTTAAACCGGATAACAACATACTTCAATAATTTTTAAAGCAAATAATGCATAATTTACCAACATATAAGAATAAAAAAAAAAAAAAACTGAGCTCACTGAGCAGAGTAACAGAATGGGAAACAAAACTTCGACGTTCTGAGGCTACCCGTTTTTGAGTTAGGCGAGATGGATTTAGTACATACGTGCGCACGTACGTACAGACATCACGAAAAAATCTCTTCTGAATCCATTTTAAACGCTTTGGGGAAAAAAAGTCCTTTATTTTGGCCTTACGTACAGATGTCATGCAAATACATCGTCAAACTGTATTCGATAGCGGTAAAAATGGATATTTTCGTTGAAAACTGATACCCGAAAGTTTTCGAGATTACAATACTTTCTTTACTTCGTACAAGAAAGTAAAAATAATAATACGTTCCTCCGAAAAAATCTTTCTTTCCCTTACGGTTTTTCAACAAATAAAATTTAAAAATTCAAATTTCTTTATTATGAATAATTTTTAAAATGCATATTTATTGTAATTTCATCGCATTGTCTAAAAATTTCAATATCGATGTCTGCAGGTGTTTCTTTGGCCTTTTCACTTCAGTCATTTCTCTGTAATAACGAACTATATCGTTTATCGTTCGGCAAAATGTAAAGCTATGTTCAGCTTTGGAATCCATTCCCATTATATACTCAAAGTTTCAAGCATTCTTTATACTATATTCGACTGTTGTCCAGAGAGAGCTGTTGGGAGTTCAAGAATGAAAGTCTTGAAAGTATAGGTATATATATATACATAAACAACGGAGAACCCCCCCCCCCAAAAAATGAAATATGCACCGTATCGTATATTTTAAAATCTTACAAAGAGTCTTGATGATAGAAAAAAAATCGATCACTTATGCATTAAAATTAATTTTGCCTACTATTTTATTAGAATTTATTTTATTTTATTATATTTTTTTATTTATTTTATTTTATTAGATTTAGTTTGTTTTGAGATTTTTAATTCGGACTACAGTGAATACGGACTAATCGAAGCCGGACTATGCGAGGTATTCCTGTAGATAGTTTTGGGTAGCTCTCCTTTTCTGTAATCTTATTCAGTAATCTTATCTACTCGGTCATTAGTTAGCACTGAAAATGTCAGATAATCAAATTTTTGCCGTTTTGTATACACACTTATTAATTACTAATATTTGGTTCTCTTATCACATTATGATTAACTTCTAGTTAACCGACCCTGTTTTAATAAAGATGATTTTTTTTTTTTTTTTTTTTTTTTTTTTTTTTTTTTTTTTCGTAACGATGGCAGAATTACTACCACAGAGCATCAGCGTAAAACTAAATTGTATACGGGAAATACGAAAAAGAAAAATGTACTGAATGACTGCAATAATAAAAAACAATGTTATGGTATTTCGGAGATTTTTTAGTCCAAAGGGGCTTTGTCCCTGAAGGACTATTGTTTTCGTTTTGCGATTTTGCGTCGGACGGATAAATGTCGGTTCACTTTTCAAACTGTTGCCACAAAATGTTAAGAGTCCTGCATTATATTTGAAGAAATTAAATAATGAAAAATCTGCATAAATGATTGTCTATTTCTCGCATTGTGATAAAACAATGGTACCTAGAGCCATCCAATTTTGAATGACGAAATCCTACTGCGAATATGGGCATCTGAAATCCCAAATTTGGAATTTGTTTTATTATAGATTTTATATTTTGTAAAACTTTAACGAATTTTTGATTTACAAACTCAATGCTTTAAAAGCGAGAAATGGCAACGTTATATAGAAAAAAAATACTTTTATCTCCAGCTCGCGAGACTGTGTATATCGGAAATTCTAAAGATATGCTTAATTTAACATTATTTTGCGATATTGCTCTTGAACTGAACTTTATGGTTTAAGTGCAAAGAACATGATATTTAATAAATAAAGGTAACACTCTAAACGTTAAAAAAACGCCCCTTTGGACGTAATTTAAAATCTGAAACATTTCAGATTTTTTTTTTTTTTTTTTTTTTTTTTTCAGTCGTAACATTTAATTGGGCGTAATCCGGATATAAGCCTTGTACAGTAAAAAAACAGAAAGTTGTAATAATTTTTTTTGGAAATATTGTTCTTTAGGACCATTTATTTAATGATGTTTAATCTTCTGTTATTTACACTTTTGTTTTTAGCCAAAAACAGCTTTTATTTCCGAAAAGCGATTTTGCGTTATTTCACATTTCATTCGAGTCTTGCCATACAGAAAAACAAACGGAAGCTATTATTCTTTCATATTTAATCTGTCCGTTATTAATTAGCTAACTAACTACTTAAAAG